TCCCTACACCCAAAAATTGGCCAGCTTGCGGTAAACAAATGAAGAAGTATATATCTAGGTCGGAAGGTCCAATTTCGCTCTAACTTATCGAAAAATCGAGATAGCGATATTCGGTGGGTCGAACAAAGCTTTCCAAGGGAACAACGAGCCGCATCGCGCTCGGTGAACCTGCGAACCAACGGACCAACTTTACAGTGAAGGGGAGGGGGCTCGGTATGTTAATTACAGACCAACATACATCCCTCTTCCCTCCCGTCCCTTACCGTCTGATCGTTTGGCAAGCTGGTGGTGTACAGTCTCTCGTTCTTTCTCATCGGTTAGCTCGGTTGCCAGCCGATTCGTCTTGGAACGGCCCATCGCCGGTCTCGTTGCACGCAGGCCTTGCGTGAGACCGACGAGTCGACCCCACGACCCAAAGCCGAGAAGAATCTTCCTTTTGCCCTCTTTCGATCTTCCCTTGCTGCCTCCACAGATCCACGGACACGCTCCACGACGTTTCTACGCCTCAACCGCCTTCTACTTACCACTACCATCGGTAGCGCTACCCCGTGCCTGGCTGCCCACGGGAAATCGACCCTCCGTTATTTGCACAACACGTTCTACAAATCTGAACGCATTTCGTCTGCCTTGTATTGCCGATTCTTCGAACGAAGGGAAATGACGCGGATTTCGTGGAATAATTGAGTGAAATGGCAGGAAATTTGATGCCAAAAGGATGCTGGTAGCTGAAAGGGTTTTGTGGAAATTTCAGTGATACGATATATATTAGAGAGAAGAGAAAAGAATTTTGTGTTACCTGCATGGTTGTAATTCTATTACACGGTGGTGAATCTTTATGACAAAATAAGCCATGATTATGGAATAACATTCGCACTCGGGTTTGGTATGCGTATATTAAGTGTACGTGTGCCTCAACTAAACGGATTTCTGAAAATTGGGATAGAATAAACCTCATTGGTTACATTCACAAAGGCTAATGCAAGTAAATAATAGCAACAGGCTGTATAAAGACACATTTGGTTGAGACTTCCGATTAACCCATTTGTGTCTGTAATGTGTACATTCGTCAGAATTTTCCCGGTTTATCACTGGAATGCATATACCGTTTTCTTGGGACACGTTCGCAATGTCACTGGATAGTATGACGCACACAACATGTGTTTCTCGCACCGCATAAAATATTATTAAATATTGCGCAAGAAATAAAATTGATAATTCCAATTTGGCCTGTAAAACGGAAGCATATTCTGCCAGTGAAAAATTAATGAATTAAGATTTGATAAATTTTTGGGTTAAGATAATAAATACTTCTGTATTGTACAACATTATTCACCTACATTTTTAAAAATATAATACAAAAAATTATATATGTTAATAAAGAACATATTTATATTTACTTGTAACAAAAATAAATCAGGACACTTCTTCTTTTTTTTCCACATTTTCCTTGAAAAATAGCCTCATATACAACAATCTCAGACAGTAATTTCAAGTCACTTTTCCCTGAGGAATTACAGTCTTTTTATCCCTTGGTGGTAGTATTACGTTTGCTGGGTCACCATATATATGTAAATAAAGTAGAATAAACCGATGAACATATGTATGATAGTTTAGATTATAATATCAGAAATATAAGGATATCATACTCTTCGCACATTAGGAGTATGAACACACACGGTAGCAGTGTTGTTAACATGCCTCTAAATTTACTCTCAGAATAACGTTTCACCAATAACAAATAACCATTAAGATAACTTCCAATATTCCCTGTACAATTTGCATCGAGATTTCTTATTTACCAGATCTAAATATACTAGGAAACAGCGTTTAACAGTTGAGTAACATTATATGTTATCACACCAAGAACTAAGCTGTCACGAAACCACTTCACGTAACGCGTATAGGTTATGCGAAGATTGGTCACTCTGGTGGAACGACGCGCTGCTTCGTTTTATCGATCCCTCGATCGACTAGATCGACGCAGATCTTGCATCTCCCGTCTTCTCTTTCCTTCGATTTAAGATAATTTTCCGTTACGAAGCTGTTTATCTGCCTCCTAGTATTTTTATTGCGACAAAGCGCATCACGTTTCACCGGTTTCGTTTATAGCGTTTTACTTTGTTTTCAGACAGGTATCACACGTCGGAGAAAATCAAAGAGGCATCGCGTGTGCCTTATAACTGCAATTCGTTTTAGTCGATATTACAGAGGCATATACGCGTCGCCATTGATCGCGCCATCATACATTTCTTTTGAAAACATTTCGGTGGGTAATGATAACTCTGCTCAGTCGGTAAAACGCAGAAACAACAATTAGCATGGAACATGATTGATTTCACTTGCACTGATAACGCATTGTAAGAATAAAACTTTGTTTTCTCTTTTTTCTCGTTTTTCCTGAGAATAAAAAAGACAATAAGCATCGTGAAAATGAATAATTTGTTTACGATATGTACTTGCAATTTCATTGACACCGTATCTATTAAAGTAATTCTGACAGATTCTTAATCAGCATATTAAAAAATGGTTCTTAACATAGGATACTGATTTTTAGAGAGTAATATAAACAAAATGTATCTAATTACTCACCGCCAAAAGTGTGGAACGTATCCCGCCGGGCATAAATCTCGACATTGACCGCAGGGTGCACCTTGAAGAACGATATTACCATGCGAGTAAGTATTAGACTGGCCGTCTTGACCAGGTGACAGCATTCTGTAACAGGAAAATTTTATTCGTTTCATTGTTATATCGTTCTCTGATATTTCATATAGATTAAACTGCTATCATTGGGGTCATTTCGTTAATCAAGAAATTCTTATTGCATTACTTTTCGTTTTGTTTTAATCTAAATATAATTTTTTATGAAAACTTGTCGCTTTATTCGTCTTTATGCAAATGTTATCGTTGTCGCGATCTTCAATTTAAGGAGTACCAAGTCCAACGTAAAAAGTTAATATCATCCATTACCATAAATTATAATAATTATCGTAAATTCTACAGTGACCAAACCTACCAACGCGTTATTAAATCAGACAAATGATTCCTTTAATACGTCGAACGATGAAATTAACATATATCCATAAATATGTGTGTGCAGTTCTTGTGTTATTCTATCTCGGTCGATGCTGTTGAAAAGCATAGTGGAGAAACTTTTACGGGGTTACCCTGCCGATCATCAATCTTTGTCAAATTTAAGAATAGTCTCCTCCATCTTGTCCTGTCATACTAGTTTCCTGCAAATCTCTTTTATCCGTGAAGCCTGCACAGTTTTTAGCCGGACATTTTACTAACCCTCTATTTTCTACCGTCCGCAATGAAATGTGTCGCGAAAATAATTAATTAAAGGCGCCATCTAATAGCAAGCAACACGAGTGATTACGCCCTGCTCAGATTAATAATGAAAACCGGCAATTAACGGGTAACCGATGTCCCATACGCTTCGATCGCCATCGATTAACCAACACCAGGTAATTACACCTTCTAGAAATTTTATTACAACGAAAATCTTTGTATACCGTGTGAGAAATGCCGACAGTTTCATCATGCTCTTCCCCTTTTGCATCGTATCCTTGTATTCTCGGTTTCTTGTTGCTCGCCTTTTTTCGCCGGCGGTATTATAAATATTTCCCCTTGGAGATGCGATCAAAAATAATGACGCAGCTGTGCGTGCGTGGAAACGAAACGAAATAAAACTACCGGGAACGAAAGTCGATAAGTTATCCCGCCGTTTAGCTTGATTATCGATTACTTTTTTTCAAACGCGCGGTCACAGCCGATAAAATGAAATTGAAAATTGTAGGGAA